GGGGGGGGGCGGGGCGGGGGCGGGGGGGGGGCGGCTGGGGCGGCGGGGGTGGGGGGCGGTCGGGGGGGGGGGGGGGGGAGGGGGGGGTGGGGGGGGGGTGGGGGGGGGGGGGCGGGGGGGGGGGGGGGGGGGGGGCGGGGCGGGGGGGGGGGCGGGGGGGGGGGCGGGGGGGGGGGTGGGGGGGCGGGGGGGGGGGGGGGGGGGGGGGGGGGGGGGGGGGGGGGGGGGGGGCGGGGCGGGGGGGCGGGGGGGGGGGGGGGGGGCGGGGGGGGGCGGGGCGGGGGCGGGGGGGGGGGGGCGGGGGGGGCGGGGGGGCGGGGCGGGGGGGGGGCGGGGGGGGGCGGGGGCGGGGGGGCGGGCGGGGGGGGCGGGGGGCGGGGGGCGGGGGGCGGGGGGGCGGGGGGGGGGGGGCGGCGGGGGGGGGGGCGGGGGGGGGCGGGGGGGGCGGGGGCGGGCGGGGGGGCGGGGGGCGGGGGCGGGCGCGGGGGGGGGGCGGGGCGGGGGCGGGGGGGGGGCGGGGGGGGGCGGGGGGGGCGGGCGGGGGGCGGGTGGGGGGGGGCGCGGGGCCGGGGGGGCGGGGCGGGAGGGGGGCGCGGGGGGGGGCGGGGGCGGGGGGGCCGGGGCGGGGCGCGAGGCCGGCGCGGGGGCGGGGGGGGCGCGGGGCGGGGCGGGCGCGGCGGGGGGGGGGCCGGGGGCGCGGCGGGGGCGGGGCCGGGCGGGCGCGGGCGGCGGCGCGGGGCGCGGGGCCCGGGCGGGGGGGGCGCGGGGCGCGGGGCGCCGGCGGGCGCAGAATATAGGTTTTGTCCACGAAGGACCGACTTTTTACACGTTTATCGTGCTAGTATGCGGGCTAGTTGCTTTCCCTGAAGCAGCTGGGTCGTGCCTAATGCAGGGAGTCCGACAACTTCTAGCTCTTCCACCGTATTGGCGGTGATACCAACATACTTCTTCGACGGGTTCGGTAGCATCTGACTGAGAACGTGCAGGGAAAATGTTGCGCTTTCGTGCCGAACGTGACATACTCGGTGCAGGCACAGACGAGCCGCAATGAACGGTAGCCAAAACGTGGTCAGCAATAGACCGTGGCACCCGCTGCTTCGAAGCCTTCAGTGCCGGTATCCTGCTGCGAAGTAGCGCAATTTCCTCGTCTTTAGGGTCAGATCGGCCCAACAACTGGGAGCAAACATGAGATTCCGTTTTCATCGGTGAGAATACGTCACCGGAGCTACTGGTCATCTGCTGCGGAAACCGTTCGAACACAGCGTCTGCTATGAAAGCTAATTCTTTCAGGGGTGTGTCTATAAACACGGACAGCGTTAGCGGCAATTGCTATGGGAGATGTGCAAACCACAGCAAATGTATCCCTTCTTCGCTCAGGAATAAGGGACCAGCGATGCGCTGAAGTTCGCGGAGCAACGCCGACGGCTTGCGATCTCCACGGTTGAGACCACTGAGCTGCTCAAATCGACTTCGTGCGCTGAGCTGTAACGCTTTTAAAATCGCTTGCTCCATCGTTTCATACTTTGCCTCCCTCGATGTGCAGAGTAGAATGTGTTCACGCCGCGTCACAACCGACGGAGGAAGACGTGGGTCGAGCTGATTGTACCTCGGACGGTCCGCCGTAACGCTCTTATTTGCCAGTTCGATCTCGAATACCGTAAACAAAACCTCTGGGCTGTTCCATGAAACTTGGAACAGCCAAGGTAAGCATGTTCACGCTGTGAAACCGCTCAGCTGCCAATATCGAAATGTGAGTCGAAACATAAAGAATGAACAAAATACGATAAAAGTACTAAAATTACGCAAGTAACAAATGAATATAGGTATAGAATCGAGAAAAAGGAACGAACTTTCCAAAATATACAAACGAGGAAATAAACGTGGGGTTCGCGCGTGCGAATCGGGGTCACCAATTTGTAGGACAAGTTAATACTAGTCCGAGAGAGTGCTGGAAAGCAAGCGCGGATATCAGAAGGCAACGAGAGTCGGATACAGCGGATTGTATACCATGGGCTGCAATAAGAAGCGGACGGATGAAGCCAGGCGAGATCGGACACGTGAGCGCGTGGAACTTACAAGGCTGTTGCCTGACGAACCGGTTGTAAGGAAGCTTAAAACAAGAAGGAGTAATGTACAATCGGTCAACAATTAAATTGTACATGAAAGATAGCACTTATCTTTTAGTGCGCTACAAAGCCTTAAGTAGGGTGCGCTTTACCGCAGTGTTTCTCAAAGTGTGGTCTGCGCTACCCTTCGGCGTCCGTTAAACATTTTTCTGGACATGGTCATTAGATAACTTAGGTTGAGGATAAACATGCGATAAAAATTTGTTTGTGAACGTGTACATTAGTCTAAGTTATTGGATGTCGTTGTGAGGTTGAACAATTCACACACCTTGTGCGTGCTTCTTAGCCAGTGCTTTGGCATGAACCCAGCTCGGGATGCAGACTGTTGACTTGACGAAAGTGTGGTACGCACAGCGGTAACACTGGGACAAGTGCAATGAGCACTACTCGGGATCCGGGCTGCCTATTCACTCGGGACAACTCAGTTTTGATCTGCACACCTGACTGGAAGTTTGAATGCGGTTTCCGTCGAGGGAGCTCTGGTTTGAACTGCGCATTTCTGGTCTCTGCCTAGCAACTTTGATTATCGGGCCCGGTAGTGTACTGATGCTGGCAAACTGCAGGAGAGTTTGGCAGGTCTTTTGCAGCCCAGCAGAATTATTCACACCGTGATGCCATGGGTAAAGGCTGTATGGGCCGTTCTACGTCCGTGTAATCTGGCACACCCCGGGCTTTGTTACCCGACGGGGGCGACAAGCAAGTCTTAATATAGGACTTCTGTGCTATACTTTTAAATTGATAAACCATAAACCAATGTTTATAGGCTCGGTCCAAAGCGCGCAAGCCTAAAAGAAATACGCGCTTATTTAATTTTAACGAGTGTGCTCACTTGATTTTGTGAATTAGAGCGAACTATCTAGGTAACGTTACAAAACGTTGGCTGTTTGGTTACTTTAGTTTATGCTTATTTCACAGTCCAAGTAATCACGGCAACCAAAGTGGAAGTGTGTTCTGGATGCTTGCGTTGCACTATTCATTTCAGTTAGCATTTCGATGTATAACACCGAAATGGATCGTTGGATGAAGAATGTGACATGTAATGCACATGAAACATTTGCTGTTTGACATTTGTGACCCTACATTTTATTCGTTTTTTCATCATCCGATCGTCCATTGTCGCATATTGTCACCTCGAGCGAGGCAATCTTCACATCGAACTGCGTTCAGTTTCGGCGTACAGGCTGTCGTACTTTCGTGTTAACGTTCGTATGCATTTTTACTAGTGGAAGCGTCGCACCCTTTGGATAGAACCAGTGAACCCGGCGTATTGCATTTCCTTATGGCGGTTCTACAGACGTTGACGCAATTCCAATGGTGCCAGCCAACGCAATTTTTACAAGCCAGTCCTACCTTAATACATTTGCACAAATTTGCTTAGCACAAAATACTTCGTTTCGTGTTACCGGTGTGGTGATCATGTCGCCCGATCACCGTAGAGAAAAGCCAATGTGGCGGACACAGACGGCAGTTGGGCCAATCAGAGAGAACTCCGAAATCAATTTCAAGTTCAATTTCAAATGGGACTGGAACGATAGGATTATCCCATGAGTGTTCCTTCTTCCGCGAGTCTTTGAACCAGGTGTTTGCTTACTTTGAATTACTGATGGACCTAGAACAGAAACCGTAACACACCCTGTCCTACCAATTAATGCCCACGTATCCTGCCTTAGCAGTCCCTGCTGGGTCGGTTACGTGAAGTAAGAAAAAATGTAAACTCCGAAGGAACAAGAGTAGTTGGAAAGAGCTAAGGAAGTGGAATGCCAAGATATTTGAGTCATTAAAAAATAGAACTTAAAAGTGAAAGTGAGTTCGCTAGGAAAAAGGAAAGGTTTGCTGTTGCCACCCAAGAGCATCGAGCTGGCGCGCAAAACCCTTAACCGTAGGTTCCCTAACCGCGCGATCTATAACTCCGCGCGGTAGACCAGTTTCCCTTCTAATCCTATCAGACCGTGTTTTATGCAGTTTCTGTGGGGGACCGCGGAGATTAAGTAACGTAGCGGGACTAAATAGCCCTGACAAGTCCGGGCCAATCTTACCCGTCAAAATACGATAAGTGAGAATCAGGTCCCCTACTATCCTTCGATGGTGCATGGAGTACATGCCCAAACTGCGCAAGCTTTCAGGATACGTCTGTCCCCGTAGACCCTGCAGTAACCGAGTGCCCACTCGTAACACCCTCTCCAAGTCCATTTTGTCCCGGTTAAGACATGGTGGACAAGCCTGAATGCAATATTCTAGGTGGGGTCGGACGAATTCCGAAAATAGCTTCACAAACAAATTGGCCGTTAAGATTCCGAAAGAGCGGCGGATAAACCACATCGTACGAAACCCTCGACAAACAGCCTTCGTTCAGTTGTCTCCAGAATGAAGTGCCGATGCGTGTAGGACTCCTAAATCAACCCGCTTAGTGAGAACAGGGAGTTTACCACCGCCGATAACATATCGGGTGGGAGGATTTGCAGCCCCGATTCGGACAACAGAGCACTTGGCCCTATTTATGGGCAGCAACCATAAGGTGGACCATTCCCAGAGCCTATCCGAGGCACGCTGAATTGTCTCAGGACCCCCGGGATATCCACAATATTCCAGAGCTTAGGGTTGTCAGCAAAAATTAGTGATGACATCCGTAGCTCTCCCTGCAAGTCAATTACATAGATTGCGAACAACAATGGCTCCAATAATGAGCCCTGCGGAACGCTACTAAGGACAGCTTGACTGAGCGAAACGCTACGCCCCACCCGTACGCACTGTTCCCTCCCCTCAATGAAGGTAAATATCCGTTGGAGGGCGCGACCAGGTATCCCGTAAGATCTCAACTTTAGTGAGAGCCGAAGATGTGGAACAGTGTCAAAAGCTTTCAAACAATCTACGAATAGCACGTCTACGGTGTGGCCAATGCCTACCGCTTCGGCCCAGCTTGCACGTGCTACAAGCAGTTTAGTCTGATATGGAAATCCTTTGCGGAATCCATGTTGCGCAACACTGAGAAGTTTGAATCTATCCAGGTGGTTCTCCACTGAATCCCTTATCAACTTTTCAAACAAATTGACTACTACGCTTGTCAAACTGACAGGCCGGTAGTTCGCGGGCAGAGCGCTGTCACCGCCCTCAAAATTCGGACAGATGATTGCCTCCTTCCATTCCGAAGGTAGGCTGCAGCTATCCAGTGATATAGAAAGCACGCATGTGAGTGGACCACTCAGCTCAGTGGCCAATTCATGCAACAGATTCGAATGAATTGAATCAGGACCGGAAGCTTTAGAGGGATTAATGCCTTGCAGTAGCTCGAAGACCTGAGTCTCCGTTATATTAAATGCAGCTAAGCAAGAATCCTCTGGAATTCTTGAAACCAATTCAACCTGTGGTAAAGTGGTCTCCCGAGCAAACACCCCAGTATACTGATCACTCAGTACACAAGCATTGTCATAGTCAGTTTGCGCACGGGTCCCGTCTGTTCGCAATAAAGCTGGTATAGACAGTTTTGCCCCGCTGCGTCTTTTAACTTAAGCAAAAAACTTCTTGGGATAAGCTGTGGCCGAGTCCGCTAAACCCTGCTCGTATTGGAGACTGTAGCCCCCAAAAAGATAACTCTTATCTTTCATATACAATTTAATTGTTGACCGATTGTACATTATTCCTTCTTGTTTTAATCGTCCTTACTACCGGCTCGACACAACTGCCTTGTAAGTTCCCGCGCTCACGTGTACACTCCGCCTCGCTTCATCCATTCGCTTCTTATTTTAGCTTATCGAATACAATCCGCTGTGTCCGACTCCCATTGCCTTCTGACATCCGCGCTTACTTTCGCGCACCGTCTTGGACTAGTATTAACTAGTCTTACAAGACGAGCAGTTCTAAGATGTTGCTTACATTTATTTCTTATCTCTCGATACCTATCATAGGTGCTGGCTGATGGAGCTGCTTGGTAGGTTCGCCAGCATCTAGACCGTTTCTTGAGTAGGTACATGCCTGTGGTGTCTATCCATAGAGGCTGTGCCCTTAACCCGCTTTTCCTAATGAGTGGAATATAGGGAGTGGAAAAGGGAGTGGAAAAGGTATGTCTTAAATTTATCCCAGGCTAACTGGACAGAGTCAGCCATCGAGATTTCACAGTTCAGAACTGAAGCCTTAGTTCGCATTGCACTGAAGTCCGCCCGCCAAATATTCGGAACTAATTCAACAGTGGTCCCTTGGTGCCTTGAAAAAGCACATCGAAAGGATATGCATGCGTGATCGCTGGACCATAGAGGTGCACCGTATGAAACGTCTGTCACGAAATCGAGGGACTTAGCGAAAACCAAATGCATAGTGGATGGTATTTGGTTGTCCATATACCTAGTGGGAAAGTCAATGAACTGGTGCAAAGGCCCTTAGAGCGTCAGTTTAAGGAAGTCTGCACCGAATGTTCCTAATGCCGAATTGCAAGAAAGATCGGCCCAACAGACTTCCGGGAGGTTGAAATCCCCTAGAACTAAACAGTTATTCGCAGACTGAGTGCGAATAAAGTCAAGTATCCCCCTGGAAGAACTTCCAGAACTTCTGTACATCAATATACCTGTAAACGGGGTAGAGAACGTGCACAAGACAGCCGATAGGGCTTCAACAGTCTGATCCGACGACTGGAATGTGCAGGTCCTCAACACATCTAAGGTACAGCTCACATAGAGTACAACGCCTCCGCCTTGGCGACCAACTGAGCGATCAGTTCTAAGCAGCACGTAGCCAGGTAAATATACCTCACCGTCCGTGATATCCGGAGACAACCACGTTTCAGTGAAAGCAAGTATGTCGGGACGAGATTTGTCTACAAGTAAACCCAACTCGTGCACTTTGTTCCTTAGGCTACGCACGATGCTAAGTACTACCTCAAGGAAGTCGGCACGACCATCCCTTGGTCGTGCGCCATCAGGATGGGTTCTGATAGGGCGGAAAGTAACTTCCGGCTGACCACGTGAAAACCCACCAGACGGAGGCCTTGCTCACCAGCCGCCCGTCTAGTTTTGAGGTCTTTGATAGAATCTTTTATCTTCAACCTATCTGCCAGTGATAGGTCCGGCTGAACGCTGACACCACTACCCTTAAGTTTGAATGCAAACCGCAGAAATGATTTGCGTTCCTCGGGGGTAGAAAGGACTACGCGAAGTAGTCGGGGTCGTGGATTTGGCGCGGCGATAGGGACGTTCCCCAATCTGGTCAGCTTTCTGACAGTGACACCAGGGAAGCCAGGTGGAAGCAGCTTGCTGACGCACAGTTGCAGCCACTTGATGTCATCCAAGATGCGTTCCCTTGGGAGAGCGGCCGCAGATCCAGTAACGTTACGGAATATAACGCTACCATCCGTGAAAGAGTCGGCACGACGGGGAGTGTTTACCCCACGTGTCTTGGAGTCGACACCTGTACCAGCTGTTTTCACCACTGACGGTGGGACTGTCCCTGTCTTCACAAACGACGCCGAAGCGACGGTAGCGTATGTTTTCCCCTCTATTGCCGGCGTCTTACTAGTTGCTGGGTCTTCAAGCCCCTTCAAAGTTTTACGAGCAGATCTAGTCTGCTTCTTCTTTTGGTTTACTGGAGCAGGATTCGTTGACTTTGTATCGCGTTGAGCAGTTACCAGCACTTCGTCAGGACGGGCTGGTTCACTGGTGGCCGAGATGGTCAGCATCTTCGGAAAGTTCTGTGTCTAATCGTCAGGTGACTTTACGACTGTCAAAGACGGCATCTTTTTCGACGCCGTGGCAACTAATTCTCTGGGTTTAGCAGAGAGCTTTTGGTATTTCTGCACCCTAGTTTTCTTTACTTCGACCGGCTCATGAAGACAGCCAGCAATGCCACCTGGATTGGCCGGTAGGATGTGCGACTTTATGACCGAGTGACAGACTCCAGTGGATGGATCGTCAGCAGTGTTGCCGTCTATTGCAGTGTCTTCAAACGAAATATTCAGGGATTGTAAAATCAAATCCATTTTCGTATCGGGCGACGCAATAGA